GAAATGGTTTATTGATATTAATATACAAAAGAAAATAGTATACAAAAGAAAGAAGTAATACAGACATAACACATAAGCTAGACAGAGTCCCTTGTAGGTTGAAACAAGTGTCCCAGCTGTCAATGAGACGATGGATACCTTGGGCGAAGAAGCTCCGGGGTTGGTTGTGGTACCAATTTTCAATGGCAGCTTGGACCTCATTATCATCTGCAAATCACCATCCCTTCAGAGATTTCTTGAGTGGCGAGGTGTTGAGGCTGTAAGGTGGATGTTCGAGGAACCTCCCAGCGGAATTTTCATAACAATGTTTGGCACACCACAGCCATGTGAGGATGAATATTATCACACAAGAGGATAACTCCACGTGACAGCATGCTACTTCGGTGGTTCCCGCTATTCTGTTCAGTTGCTGGAGTGTGGCACAGTATATGGCAGCAGTGACAGTTATGCCTGTAAGTAGCCATTCCAACAGCAGTGGGCCTTTGATGTCAAAGAAGCACTTTAACATGACTTTACCAGCTCTAGTGGTCATGCGAGCCTTCTTCAGCGGTGGGGATGAAGAGGTCGTCATTCCATGCTCGTGCTTGTGTTGGTTGGATGAAAGTGATGGCACCATGTTCCATCAGCGGCATCCTTGAAAGGAATTGGTTCCACATTTCAGGGTACTGCATAAGGTGTTGCATGGAGGCAGATATACAGTATGAAATAGTTTGCTCCTCTGTCAAATGTTTTGCCACCCATTGCACGCAAACTTTGTGCTATCACCTTTCACACAGTATAGGGTGCACACTTTCTATGCTCGTAGACATTCCCTCCGCTATTTCTCGAGTGGTGATTTACCAATTCATTTTCGTGAGATGGTCCATATCTGCAACTGCTTCCTGAGTGATCAGCACATGTGCTTGACCAGGTCGTGCCTGTCGTCAGTACTGCTTCTTCCACTACATAAATAACTACACCATCAGAATTACCAATCTGCTTTTCATACACATTTTGCATTCGGCAATAATTTACAGAAGCACTCGCATTTTTTGCTGTTAAAAGTTGCACAACCAGGCTTTGACGCTGTTTGAAGGCATCCATGATGCGAATGATGCCTTTTAAATGTGCTCCTACGCTATTACATACACATCTGACAGCATTTGACGATATAACATGCACAAACTTGTATGTCATTGAACGACACTTATACAATCTGGTTAGTTCATTATATGATTATATCCCAGCACTGAACGACCCTTATACAATCAGTATAGCTCTTCTAAATTTTTCTATCTCAAAATAAACATCTTTTTTGCTGCTTTGAGTATAATATTAAGTTATACATTTGCCGTATTTGACGGCATATAAGATGCACCCTTATTTAGACGGCCACATACAAGGAAATAAAGTTTCAATAGCGTGGTTTCTTTTAGTTCTCACGTTTCGTAAAAGCCAAATAAACAATTATTGAATGCAATTACCTTCACGTGTAAGATGCAGGTAACTTTGAGACCAAATTTAGGGAAAAAAGTGCGTCTTATATGCCGTCAAATACAGTAATTAAAAACTCAGTGGCTCAACAGCCCTAAATGGCCACAGTGTGCAGTGCCCCAACATCTGCTTTCTTGACCTTGGGCAAGTTAACTCAGGGTTTAGTCCCCAAGTAAACTTGGTACTCATTTTATTGAACCACTCAACGGATGAAAGGCTGAGTCAACCTTTCCCATCCTGAGGATCGAACCCCGGACCTATGATATGATACAAGGCTCTAGCCACTGTGCCAACAGGCCTTATTATACATTTGTTAATATTTAATATTATGTTTTGCATCTTATTATAATTTTGAATTACAAATGACTAATTTTTTCCCTTGTATTATCGAGTTTTTTGTATCTAATCCAGGGGTGTTTGTGCTGAACTTCGATACGCGGAAATTCCGGGGATCGTCGTTCAAAAGGAAGTAGGAATAATAATGAATTATTTATTTTGATCTGGGTAATTTTGTTTGCTTTGAAAGCAGAAAACGCAAGGTCAGTGTGTGTGGTGAAAACTTTTCCTTTCTTTCTCCAAAGGCAGTGATAATGCGTGAAAAGGGGAAAACTTTTTTTTTTTGTTCTTTCCTTATTACGAGTTATGACTCATTCCCCCGGTTCTCGGACATTCTCTTCTGGATTCTTTTCGGCAAGTAGGTGCAGCAGAAAAAAAAAGGGAGAGACTTTCTTCGACCAGATGTGCGATCACATGACTCTGGGTTCAAAGGTCTTATCTCTCCTGGCGTGGCGCCAATAAGTAGAGAAGGGGGATTTTTCCGCTGTATTAGCTATTTGTCATTGATCGCTTCTCAACTTTTTTCCTCCGCTGTGTAAAATTTTCGTTTCATTTATTGAAATATTTTTTTATTTATGTACGCAAAAGAATTTCACTATGAAATTTCTCAATATAAATAGTGATATTATACAATTAGAAGAAAGTGTCTGGAATGCATTTATGTGGAATTGGATTGAACGGAGAGATGGTAATGGGAATACCATCGGCACATGGTGCAAGAAAATAAATGTTGCTAGACAAACTTTTTTTTTTTTTTTTTTTAACTCACTGCTGAAGTATGGTGGGGAAGGATTCAAGGCTTTCACAAATCATTCTAAAACTGTGACACACATAAAATATTCAAAGTGCATTAGACATTCAATGACTTAAAGTAATTATGCTAATTCAAAAAATACTGATGACTTCTGGAGACTGATGCTCGGCCATTGGATATAGTGACAAGAAAAGCACCTAAAGAGGTATTAATAACTTCGTTTATCGCCGAGAATTCTCTTTTTTTCAATGTAGCTCCCAATTTAATTGAACTCTGCAAACAGTTGAGCCGCGATCAGACGGCACTGAACTCGTTGGAAATGTCCAGGACTACTGCATGTTATAAGATGAAATATGGGCTTGCAAAAATTATTTAGGAAAATATTAAAACTTTAATGGAGACTCCATTTTCTCTAAATTTGGATGAAAGTACTAGCAATGCTCAAGAAAGTATACTGGCAATATTAGTGCAGTTTTATGACAACAATGAAAATGAAGTTGTAGTTCATCATTTTGCATCTCTTAAAGATGGAATCTTGCAATTCAGAAGCTGTTTTTAAAGCAGTTGTTAATACTATTGAAGATAATAATATTCCATGGGCAATTTTAATTAGTGTATTAATGGACTTGTGTAACACCATGCGTGGAAAAAAAAAAGGTGTTGAAACCAGACTACGATCAAACAAAGCACCCCACTTATTAGATATTGTTGGTGACACATGTCACACAGCTAATAACTGTGCAAAAAAATTTGCTTCATGTTTTGATAGATACTTAAAGGATTTGTTTGATGACATCTATTTTGATATGAATGAAAAGCTGCAGTAAAAGAGAAAATTTTTTCAAAATCTGTGAATCCCTTGCCATTAAAAAACTTGAGCCCTTGAAGAGACCAGACCATAGGTGGGTGTACATTTTATGTGTTTTAGAAAGAATCAAAGATCTGTGGGATGCTCTTATTGCATTTTATTTCCATTCATTGGATAAAACTGAAAAAGGGGATTATTTTATGTTGAAACTGTATACAATAAAAGAAATATTTCTGCAGCTCAGAAAAAAATTGTATTATTGCTTGCATTCCCAACAACTCACAAAGGATGCTTTAGCTCGGAAAAAAAGAATACTAAATGGGTTATTTGTTATGCAAAACAAAACTTTATTGCATATGGCATTATATTCAGCAGTATTACCAGAGTTCAACACATATATTAAATTATTTGAAACAAAAAAACCAATGCTTCATTTAATACATTCCAGTATTCATAAATTGATGGCAAAATTTTTCTCTTTTCTTATAAAGCCAGAAAATATAGAGTGCACATCTTATAATGATTTATTAAAGGTTGATGTCACAAATCCAGAATTCCATCTACCTATCAAAGTAATATTTACTGGTGCAGAAGCTTCCACTCTCCTGAAGAAATTATCAAAAAATCATCCAATAGCAAAAGAATTCCAAATTTCTCTGATGAAAGCTTATACTAACACAGCACAGCATATGAAACAGAAATTACCCCTTAAAAATTCATATCTAATTAGTTTTACAGCATTAGATCCAGAGCTAAGAGGTAAAACCAGTACAATATTAGCTTTTGAAAAATTATCATCTTTTATGTCCCATATTTTTAGTGATAATGAAAAGTCAAAAGTAGAAGCTGAAATAAGGTTATACCAGAGTGATATTGATATCACGAAAGAAATGCGCTACACATCTGATGAAAGTGGAAATCAAGTCAAGTGTACAATTTATAAATATTGGTCTAAAGTTTTTAATTTAAAAGATGATTAAAACGTATTTCGGATGAGTCACCTATAAAAGTCTCTGAAAAACCTTCTACATTAGCAGAAAAACAAACTGCTTCTACCTCTGCATGTGCAGTTCTCGAGGAAATTTCTTCAACTGTAAATGAGGAAAATAAAAGTCAACCTTCCTGCATTATAAAGTTCACCACAAAAGAAAGACAAGCCCACAACATCAGAAAATAAAAAAAAAAGCAGCAGAAATTAAATAATTTTTTTAAAGAATTAATTCAGGTAATTTAAAATATTTACATAAATGTAGTAGTTTATATGTTGGAAAATTTATGGTTATTAATTTTGCAAAAAAAGTAATTCATTGAACTTTTATAATTAGGTCATTCAATACTTCATAATTGTAATTTTTCATTTCTCCCCCCCCCTTCTCGAAACTCCAAAATGTCGGTAGTAAGTCCGTAAAAGTTTCAGGGGATTTTTTGGGGTCCCACAAACACCCCTGCTAATCGTGTAATCTTATGTTATACTTTGGGGGGGGGTGCATCAGTCCAAAACATTATATAAGATTTTAAAGTGTTTTTTTAGCTTGTTCCGTTAGAGAAATATTTTCATAGTAATAAAAAATGAATTATCTATAATTGTTATTTGTAAGTTTCTTTTCGTTACTTTGTGTTTCATTTTAGTAAAATTCAAGTAGACATGTCTGACTCAGAAGCAGGTGGTGACTCTTCAAAACGATCACGTGGCCGTCCAAAGAAGTCAGCGGAACCACGTAGTGAAAGCAAGGTAATTTTTATGTTGTATTTTACATTTTATTATATATTGTGTTTTATAAAATATAAATTATATTAATTATGCAAGATATTAGAAAGCAAAATTTTTTTAACTGCTAAAATATGAGGGGATGGTCCCCATGGCTGCCTGTAGAATAAAGTTTGGGGATTTCAGAGGTAAGAATCCTCCCATTATATTTTAGCAGTTAATGGTATTTTATATTTGTATGAATTTTTATATTTATATTATGCATCTGTCTTGTAATTTTTACATGTCTATTTCATAGCTCTTGTTAATGAAGCATGATTTTTATAGGATCGTGGTGCTGATGAACCGAAAGCAAAAAGAGGACGTGGACGACCAAAGGGTTCTGCCAAAAAGCCAAAGAAGGTAAGTAAATTGTAAATAACAAAAGAAATCTCATTTGAAGAATGCTGTGTGTGATTCTTTTACGAATATATATTTTTTTTTCTTTTTTGTGTGTGTGATATTTGGAACATGCAATGTAACTCTAAAATTTAATTATTGATTTTTTATTTTTTTTATTTATTTATTTTTTTTTTTTTTTTTTTTTTTTTTTTTTTTGTTATTATTATTAGGTTAGCAGCGGTGGTTCTGGTGCTGCTGGAAAGCGTGGCCGTGGAAGGCCCAAGAAAAGTGTAAGTATCTCTAAAAATAGATCAAAAATATGGCAGCATATTAGATTACATTGTGTGATAATGACTATTACTGGGCTAAATGAAATAATGTTTTGTATAGTCAGATCAGAATGGTTCTTAAAACCAACTGGATTTAATAGTTTTGCGTCTTACTGCTGCTAGTTTGAACACTTCTAATCCTTACTGAAATTGTTACATCAGTGCAAGTCCTTTCAACTGATTTTATGTTTACCATATGTAGCCATTTCCTCCATTTTCCGATACTCAGCAGAAATGTTGCTGCATTAAAAATCAAATTTTTCCAATCTCGTCGCATGATCATTTCAGAAAATGCTCAGCTAACAGCCATAACATTCAGATGCACAATGGGTGACTGCAAATGCCCATGTTGCTACTGTATGTTAAGTGCCCTCGTGATTTATTGTGTGTGTGCTTGGCATATGGATTATTTGAAATAGGGGGGAAAATCAATTTTCAAACACTATACAGTAACAACAATATACAGTAAATGTTGGCATATTTCTGACTCATCCAACAATATACAGTAAATGTTGGCATATTTCTGACTCATCCCATATGTTAAAAGACATTAATGAGGTTTTTGATGTACTATGTGTTGTGAAATTATGTAGTTCTGAATTAATATATGATATTTCAGAGTAAAAAGAAAACAGAAGGAATGTTTAATATCATTTAGCTATTTGAATAGTATGTTTATGTTGCTACAAATCTATATATAAAAAGGATCATGTTTCAGATTTTCTGAAGAATGCAGTAATATTTAATTAGAAATCTTTAAAAGCTATAAATGTTCGAATTTCCTAAATTTTTAATGAGAATATATGTAAGTACTGAATACAGAGCTGTCACATTCCTGTCCATAATTGTTAGAAAATCCCTTTTTCCATCTCCCCAATAAATCTCATAGATTTTAATTTATCTGAAATAATCTATTTTCTTAAATGGGTTTCTATAACTTTTACTTGACATATTTTTTTTTAACTTGTGTTCTGAAAATGTACCCAACATTTTAATAGATAAATATTAGTATGTAATTTTTAAATTGTGTATTAAAGTTTATCTTCATTATATATATGTACTTAACCATACGTTATTAATTTTATTTTTATTCCATTTCAAAGCATTTTGATAATTTGAAGGCTTCCCCCCCCCAGCTTCTCATTTTAAAATTTATAGAAAATTGCAAAATCAAATGAATCGGAGTTCTTACATTTCGCAAATGCTTTCAATACAAGCAATAATGCGTCTGCTTAAATTCATTCTAAAATTTTTATTCTTCTGAGACAAAAAATTCATCTTCGCCATTAACTATGTCGATTTTGTACTCAGATGCGCTCGTATTTAGGAGAAACTTACACATGTTTATTGTGATTTCCGGTATATTTTCTCTTCCCAAATAATATTTTTTCCGACGTTTTATTATTTAAAAATTTTCAAAAACAAATACAGAAAGCATGAATTTAAGTTGAAAAGGGCAAAAAGAATAGTGAAACACAAAATGAACAAAGCACATTGTAAATATGAAAATTGAACACGCAATTCTCCACCACACAGCTTAGTAAACAAGCCATATGCCTTTCAGTAGAATCATATTCTGACTAAGTAAGTAATAGAAATATCTGAACATGCAAGTGATAACTGAGTAAAAAAAAATGAATCTTTAATCTTTTTAAATTTCAAAACATTCATAAATTGTGTATTTTTGGAATCCGCCTGTCTGTATCTTTAGCCCAAAACAAACTTTTTATGTCCTATGTCTCCTTAATCTAACATGCTTTACCAAAAATCTGTATTTGAATATATTAAATGAGCTTAAGATAATTTACCAGTTTAGAATCTTCTGAAGTCGTTGCAAGTTGCCATGAAATTCTTAGTTTGGTGATAAAGCAATTTTATCACACATCTTGAGGAAACATAAAAAAGGTACAAGTACAATCAACCTGCTACAAATATTGGTGAAACCAGATAAAGTAAAGTTTTATTCAAACTGGGTTTAGCAGAGTGATTTCAATTTTCTTTTTATCCTTTTCCATTTACAGTTTTCTTAAAGAATGTGTGACCTTTGTGCAGTTTTTTGGCATACAGCTAGGTTTTTTATGTTAAGTTAAAAATTTTATTAAATGATATTTCTATTTCAGGAAGGAAAAGAATCAAAGAATTCATCAGACCATGGTGGATCTGGTGGCAGTGATAAAGACGATTAAGTTCGCCTGGCCAAAACATGGTAAATTTATTAATTTCTCAGTGAGGAAAATAAGTAAAATTTTTATTCGTCTAGAATGCTCGTAAAATATGAATGGTGATAATACGATCGTATTTCAACAGCTTCCATATGTAATGTTTATTATAGATGGAAGCTCCAGCTTTTTTTTATATTTTTACATTGTATTTGCAGTGATGATTTTAACTAGAATTTAGCTGTTATTTTTAATTCTAAACATGACTGTGGTTTAACTTCATTGCATGATGTTGCAGATTTGGCAGAAGGCACCACAGTTATCACTGATGAATGAAGAGTGAAGCTGTCCTAAATAGTCATTATTTATCATTAATACTTGCACCAGTCAGTAGCCTGATAAAGTAAAATAGGGTTCGTACGATCCTTATGAGTTCTTAAAAATCCTTAGATTTTTTTTTTTTTTTTTTTTTTTTTTTTGAATTGATTTTTGGTCCTTAAAAGTCCTTAACTTTGGCCGAAATCACCAGAAGGTCCTTAATTTTAAGCATCTGAAATTTCTGTCTGTTTTTACGACTGCCATTTTGAGTGTGAATTAACATTTTGGAGGAATATTTTCGGAAATTCACTGATGTATATATGGTTATCTTTTGAAAGGGTTCATGAATTATAATTTGTGTCTATTTCTAATATAAATGATGGGATACTCAACTTTCTACGCAAAAAGTGAAACGTAAGCATTTTGAAATTAATTTTTTCTAATAAAGAGCTCTTAAACAACTTTTCGCTTTTGGGGATGTGAATTCTTTTATTAAACTGTTCTAAATTTGGTGATTTTAAGATCAGTTTCTATAGAAAACTTTTAATTCTGAGATCTGATAATTCTTCGATGATTTTTTTTAAACATCATAAAATAGATTAATTTCATTATAATAATGGTAATATATTGAAATTATATTTTAAAAATAAAACATTTTTATTTTTCGCTGTCATAATAAAGTTTCATTTTGGCAACTTATACAATATTTTGAATCTGAAAAATAAACAAGGTACAATGCTATAAAGCACAATTTATGAAACGGCTCTTAGCAAAAGCAAAATGAGTTAATAATTAATTTAAAATGTCTTAATTGTCTCAGAATATGCATGAGGTTTCTTTATAAAATTAATTTTACACTTTTTCCCTCTTTCCTCACCCTCCCCAAAAAAATATTTCTGGCTTTTTGCTGTTACGGTATTGGTAGGGATAATTTTTCTTTAGAATTTTAGACATTGCAGCTCGGAAAGTCTAGAAGGATTAAGGCAAGATTTATAGACCCATGATTCTAGAAGATTCGAGACATGTGACAAAATGAAAAAACGTTTCCGTAGTGGATGTATTTTACAGAAAGTTTGCAATGAATTTCTTACTTTTTGGAGAACGTCTGGGAGAAAAATGAAAACATAATGTTTGAATGTTTTACTTCTGATAGTAGAATCTTAACATTGTTATCTTCCATTTATTATCTCTACTTTTCACTAGACACAAGCATGGAAAATATCAAAAATGCTTAAAGATTCATCTAATATGTCTTAATGCATACACATAGCTGGCACTTAGGCATTTTCCCACCTGATGCTGTAGATCCTAAATTCTGCTGCCTAGTGCCTTTCTAAATTCTGCTTCTAGTGCCTGCTCGAAATTCTAAAAGTTTTGCTATTTCTAGATTTTTTCAGTGTGTCACTAAATTCTAAAAATTCTGCCACATCAGCTCTGTAACCGGACTTTATCATGTATTTAATATTTCTTCTGAATGTTCATATTACTAAAATAAAATTAGCCGCTTTTTCTGAACTTTCTAAATGCATTTAGTGTTTGTTAGAATAACAGAAATCCTTAATTAAATCCAAAAATTCTAAAATGAAAAGGAAACATGTTGAAGAAAGAAACTGAGTACATAAAGAACATTATTCTTCAAAGATATATGTAGTTATGATTATGTATGTAAATTACCCAATTGTTTATGATTTCAGCCTTTACTATAATTTCCCATTTCTATTTCCTGATATATAGAGTTACTGAGCCAGATTAAATTTAAATTAAATTGTATAATCTTTGACCACTAATCCACATTATTAGTTTGAATTTGACTGTTCTTGTTTAATTATGTCACCGTGAGCTGTAATTGATTTTGTTAGCATCAGAACATGCCTTTATGTTCTAAGTTCTTTTTAAATAAGAGGTTTAGTTAAACCTTTGTCTGATATTGTAGTTACTTTCAGACATAGCAATAATATGCTTCACGTCTGTGGGGGTTTTGGACTATATAACTTTTACCAAATCAAGTAAACCCTCATAGGTACATTGTGGAGAGTTTGACAAGTTAGGAGATAAAGCACGCAGAAACTAGCAAGAGCATTGGTTTGTACATTGAGACAAATCTTTAATTGTTAGAAAAGATGTTTAAAGAGAAGGAAATCGAAATAAACTACCCAAAATGTCCGGGAAGGCTTCCAATTAAAATGACGGATAAATATTTTGTTTAGTGTTGTTACAAAACATAAATGTTTTGTAGCTTTTAATGTGTAATTATCCTAATATCATTTAAGAATCAGTGTCATAAATTACATATATTTTAAACTGTGAAATTTTATTAGATTTTGATTTTAATTGGGCTTTTTTTAACAAATATTGTTAAAAAATAAAATTTAATAGTAGTCATGTAAATCCATAATGACTAAGGTTATCAAACTACCTAATTTAATTATTTATAAATAATTGCATACCCTTAAAATTATCTCTACATATTAAAGCGAGTTATTGCCTTTCAATAATAGTCATTGTGGTTACAAGATAAAATACAAAAATGTAAAAATTCAAGTAAAATTTATTCTTTGCATCTACTGAGACTTAAAATAATACAAAACGTCATATCACCTCTGGTGCTTTAATGCCTTATTGGAACCTTAAAGTATATTAACTGGGTTACAACCCCTCAAACTCTACACGAAGCTATGACACTAACTGCATCAAACAGAGCCTAACTAACTTTCAACACTTGCCAACCGTGCCTACACCAGGCCTTTCAGGTTTGTTCTAATCAGCAAGTAGCAGCAGTGACAACATTGCCTTTTGTTTATGAATCATGTTGATTATGATCTTACTTCTCATTTTAACCTATGCTGTTTGACATAAAATCTACCTGCTACTAAACCTCTAGACTGACCAAGTATGTGATAAAATTAGACATAAAAAAATCAATATAAAGCTAACTGTTAGTAAAACTTAAATGCCACTTATCTTCTTTCAAATATGACCAACTATTATAAGTGTAAATTATTTAATGCTACTTGATAAATTGCATAAAGTTTATTTTATTCTCAAACTTATCAATAATTATGTTCATTAATACATGTTTAGTAATAATGCATAATACCTAGGGATCTATTTTATTTTTAGGATGGTGTTACAAAAGTGAAATTCAGGCATAGATAATATTTTTAATTTAATTTATTCAGTTTCCTTTTGCTCATAGGTCCTTAATTTTTTTCATTTATGGTCCTAAAAGTACTTAATTTTCTGTGTGCAGAAATGTGTACGAACCCTGTAAAAGGATTGTTGTACCTATTGCTTGATAGCAAATTATGCAGCAGAGAAAACCATCTAAATGCAATCATGCAATGTTCTTTCAAATTTTTAGTATAAGCAGTTTTGTAATAGTTTGTACACTCCAGAACATTCCAGCAGCAATTCTTAATAGTTATAAAATCTTTTAAATTCCTTGCAATTGCAGCTAAATACAGATAAGAGATAGAATATTATGAATATTCATGAAATGAGAGAACGTTTAATAATTGGATATTTAAATAATAATACTAAGCATATATCCCTCCACTAAGCATACCAAGATGAAAACCTAAAAGTAAGTTGGTGGGTAATTGTGCATGCATAGTTGGTTTCAAAAAATATTAAAGTAAATATTACTCAGTAATTAGAAATATTTTGATCTGTTTGCATTTAATTCATGTATTTTTTTGGCCTTTCTGTTTATAACCAGCAGTTGTTTTAATCACTAGCAGAAATTTAAGTCCTAATAATGTTAACATTAATTTGAATAAAGGTGCTATTTTACATGCCACTATTAACCATGTTTTGAATTAAAAACCAGTAAAATTGTTTTGAATTTTGTTTTTAATCACAGATATCCAGCTTCCCATTTATTGCTCTTTCAGAGTGTGATTGAAAAGTAGGCAGTTTATTGCTAGTGGTTTCTTCAGAATCTTGACTAATCAAATCTTTAAAACATGTTACTATAAATTTTAAGTAAGGATGTAATCATTTATATATGAATAAGATAGCAGTAGGAAAATTGTTATATGTCATGTTTTAATAGTTATAAAAAATGATTCAGTTTTAATATTTAGTCCAAAGGAACTTTGTACCTGAAGGATTATTGTTTTCGTTTTGCGTTGAATCACTATAAATGTCCCTTTCACTTTTCAAACTGTTGCCACGAAATGTTAAGAGTCCTGCATTATATTTGAAGAAATTAAATAATGGAAAAGCTGCATCAATAGGTGTATATTTCTCTCATTGTGATAGAACAATGATACATAGAGCCATCAAGCTTTCCTACAAATATGGGCATGTCGAAGAAAAATTTGGAATTTGTTTTATTATCGATTGCATATTTTGTAAACCTTTAATGAATTTTTTAGTAACAACTTCAACGATTTAAAATTGAACCGTGGCAAACACTCTACGGAGGGGGACCTTTTTATCTCCAGCACGCGAAACTGTGTATCTGAAACTCTAAAGATAGGCTCATTTTAAAATTATTTTGCAACATTGTTGTTGAACTGAATTTTATGGTTTCAATTCAACGTGATATTTAATAAATAAATGTAACACACAAAATGTTTAAAAAACGCCCCTTTGGACGTAATTTAAAATCTGAAACCTTTGAGATTTTTTTTATAAAGTGATTGTCCTTATACTGTTGATTTAATGTTTTATTTGTCAATTTTTCTCCCAAATTTTCAAAGATTTTAATGTTTTTCTTTGTTTTTTAGGTCTGCGAGAAATCTTCCATTAAACTGGATGAATTGCTGCCAGATATTCTTCATGTTTGATAAAGCAGTTGACTGATGATTTATTGTATTTTTCATATCAGCTGAAGAGTACAGCAGTTTTCTCGCAGATCATTTTAAATGTAACAGTACAAGTCTTAATAACATGGTTTTATTTTGTAATCATTGTCATTCTTGTAATTTGTCTGCTGCAGTGGCCCTTCTACGTTTGTAAGGTGTCTGCATATCATCATTTGTAAACTCATCCCTGTTTGAAAAACCACTTCTCATATTAACAACATAGTTTTGAATTAATTAAGCTTTCGAACTTTTTTTTTAGTGTGCATGCATTTGTCATTGTAGTTGTTACTCATGCTTGCAGTTGTGTTAGTGTTTGCCTGCTAGTTTTTAAGTGTACATTAAGCTTTTGTCTAAATGGATTTAAAAGATGAACATGAACAAAACTTCTGTAAAGAAAAGGATTTTAGGAAAAGGGCTTTGTTGCAGACAAGCCATTCATTTTTTTTAGTATTAGCTCTGTGTTGTGTGCATTTTGTCACTTTAGCCATTGTGAAGTAAAAATGGAATTTGTCAATAAAGCATTTTTCTTTTATTTTGTTTCTAATGCAGTTTTGTTGATGTCAAATAAACCACAATATGTAGTAAAATAAGCACACAATAAAACACTATGCAATATGCAAGTAATATTTATTTATCAGAAAAATTCCGCATTATATTTCTAGTTTCCTCTAATGTCACTTTTAAGTTAATAAAACATTTTTGTGATAAAAGTATTCTATTATTTAAAATAACTTTTTTTTTTCCTTAGTGAGGTGGGTGAACCCGATAAGATATTATTTATGTTTGACTGTGTTTCTGAGTAACATTCATGACTCCATAAGCAGTAAAAATGCAGTCCCCCCCTGCTTCCCATGATGAGGTTTATAACCACTAAATCCACATTCTATTTATTGGATAGGAATTTACAGGAAAGCAGTCATCAATAACGCATGATACAAATTATATTTGTTTTTTTCTTACTGTCATTTGTGATACCCTTGTTCAAACAATGGTTTCAACTTCTCATTTATGGTTAATTAATAAATTGTTTCTGTATTTGTATGTATTCATATAAGGTTATGGGTCTGCTTAGAAAAAGATCCAGCACCCAAGCAAATCACGAGGAATGTCTTCGAACCTTGACTGAGGTCAGAATGATGAACTGTTAGTGATGACAGTAAGCAAGCAAATCTTATTAAGTTTTTGCAATTTTGAAACAGCATTCTCCTCGCCAAAGTTTTACAATAAATGCAGATATTATGCTTTTTAAATTGGTTAAATTTAATTATTCAACTTTTAGCTTTAGAATAATTTTACTAAATTTAAGAAATAATTTGTTTATACAAGCTCTAGTTCATTTTTTAAAATGAAAATAAGCTGCAAATCGTGTTTAATTTCCAAGAATTTCAACATTGAATGAAAGAGAGCATAAGATTGATTCAAACATGTGCTTTTATATAACTGATAAGCTGTTGTGTTAAGTAGTAAATGATTATAATCTTCAGTTTCCAAACATGTCTCATTTAAAGTATTCCTTTTGATTTTGTTATCTGCTCTAATAACATTATCTAGTGAGCCATATACAAGTGTTCAGTAAGATTTTTAGTGACTAAATGATGCAACATACAGAACTCGTGTGATCCTTAACACGTTCTACGCCCCACGCGGCGTGATGGGCAATTTTTTTTTATCGCCAGAAGCAAAATAATACAAATGTGAAACGGGAAGTCTTCAAAAACGGTCTGGCAGGGAACGTGTTAAAAGTCCTCTCTCTTTTTCTTTTTTTTTTTTTTTAAATCCTTAACACGTTGACTGCAATGTGCATTTTACATGGTTTACCCATGACTCCAACTAGAAATTTTTATTATGTGATGTATATTATCTACAGAAGATAATGTAATTTATGTAATCGTGTTCTTTGGTTGTATTTTTTCATTTTTATTTTTTGATGAATATTTTGGAAAACCCCCGCGAAGCACTAAGTGGCAAGGGAACACTGTATATGATAAATTACCCTGTTTACATTATCAACACGACACATATTAGTTCACACAGCAACACAAACTAAGTAAATGTTGATTCTTTTAATATCTTGCATACATTACTTTTAAAAAAGATCTGTTCTGCTATACTGTATGAAAATTTTGGTTGTTTTGTCTGCGTGTGCAAATGTATGTTTCTCACATTGTGATAGAACAACAATACCTAGAGCCATCAAATTTTGAATAACTTAATCCTACTGCATCTGAAAGCCTGAATTTGGATTTTGTTTATTATTTATTTCATATTTTGCAAAACTTCAACGAACTTTTAATTAATTAACTCGAGGATTTCAAAGCAAGAAATGGCAATGTTGTACAAAAAAAAAAACATTTCTACCTCCATCGCAAAAGACCGCGTATCAGAAATTCTAAAGATATGCTGAATTTAAAATAATTTTGTGATATTGCTCTTAAACTGAATTTTATGGTTTAAGTGCAAAGAACATGATATTTAATAAATATAGGTAACACACAAAAATGTTAAAAAAAAACCTCTTTGGACGTAATTTAAAATCTGAATAGTTTCCTCCCCCCTAATTTCAAGCTACCACGAGGAAAAAAGAAGCATTGTGAACACTAAATATATGAGTGCAAATAAATTTTAATCGGTAAACATTTTCTTATCTCGTCTTTATTTAGTCCTTGCAAATCATTTCCGATTAAATCAGCACACACTAATTGCAACAATAATGCAATGCGTACACATTAAATATTGAAATTCTAAGCAGCTTTCAAAAACTTATGAACAATTTTCAACACTCGCGTAGTACCAGTACTTTTGTTCCTCTTCCCACGTATTAGTTATCTTCCTCATTCATGTTATCCTTCCAAAGGAGATCATCTGTTCCATCCAAAGCATTTGATATATCTGTTACTTTACAACTTTTCATAATCGCATTGTCGAATATGCTTATCTACGCACACTTTTCTGAGATGCATGCCCTTCTCAGATGTCCAGCTGCTGTGGTCCCCCCTTCCACTTGAAGTCGACCTATTATGGTAACTCTGTTTTAATGCCATTTGAAATGGCTTGTTTTTACAAACATCCAGTAGCTGAAGAATGGATATTAGACCTGGAATCATAGCAAGATCAGTTTTTGAGGTTTCAACATTTCGTTTCACTATCTGCGAGATGCCCTTTGAAGCTGTCCAACACGAGAAAAGAAGGTAGCTGCAACAGAGCTCCAGGTTGTATATACCATTCACTCTGTAGCCAGTCCTGAACTAAAGTGTCATCCATCCACCCCTTCTCTTAAACTTGTACCACAATTCCTGGTTGCAGTTTTTCTCTCAGAATTGTTTTTGGCTTAAAAAGCATCTATGGCAGAAGTTTTTTGCCATCGGCTCTAACTGCTAACATAAGAAACAGCTGCTCTTTGTTTTTCATATCCGCATGTGCGTATTGGTACAGATCCTTGCACCCCATTCATTTATGGTGTAATTGTCTGAAGCATCAAAATAAACTGGCATCTGATCAGCTATTGCAATTTGTGATGCTAAATAATGAAGTGCTGAAAGGACAACAACTTATCATCATAGTCACTGGCAACGAAAATCCATTTCGTATCATCATTCGCTATAATCAGCTTTCGTCTTGAATTGCGATGTAGGAATGTCTTCTCGTACCGCAGCGAGCACTCTTATTTGGCACACATCCTGTGTTACTGCGTACCCTTGAGCGTGCATATCAGAAACATATGCAACTGCTTTTTTCTACATTTCGAACCATGAAACACTTTTTTTCGTTGCCGTCAGTTGAACACGCTGTTTGCTCCAGTTGCAGACACACTATTCGTCCACAGTATGTACTCTTGCTGCTGCTCTTTTTCCATTTCCTGTGCAAATTCTATGACTTTCAGTGTAAAAGCTGCTGTCTTTTCCCATTTCAAGCACGCTACTTCCTAACTACCATAAATTCCAAATGATACTATGAAAAGAGAAAGCTTGAAATATGCGAATGGTCAAAGGAAAAAAATTTAATTACAGAACAGTATTTCCTGGAAGCCAATGCGGTGAAAACCTGTTTAGACTGCCTTCATTTATTGCGTCTGCTGAGTGGTACCAAAGTTATGATTGAATAACAGCTGCATCAGAATGCAAGGAAAGTCTGCTTTGCATCCTGTCGCCAATGAAGGCAAAACAAATGCATATTGTTTCTTTTAAGATATTTATTGACTGAAGGGGAAAAGGCAATGTTAAAAAACATATATATTAAGTAAGAAATTCTTTAGTTTGAGTTGTGGAAATTGTGTAAATCACTTTTTTTAATATAAATTTAATCTGTAAAGTTGGGGTGCGGACATTACACAAGTGTATACAGTCAAAAATTTTTAATCGGGACTTCGGCGATTCCGGATCATAGATCATCGGTTTAAATCTGGTAAGATGGCATGCAGAAATTATAAAATTAAAAATATGAAATAAAGAGCAATTATGATCTAAAGGGAATCAAAATTTACAAAAAAAAAAGCTTAATATTTATTTGCCTACTTTATTAAACATTTCTTTCAACGCGCGAATACATTACACATAGTCGAAATTAGAAAATTGCTACCAGAAAACTTTTTGATGTGTACTTGTGATATTTATAATGACGAGGAATTTGATTTAAATCATATCAAAGAGATCAACTTCCAGTTCATAGTGCGACGCCCCTCTGCAGAGCAGCGTGAAATTGATAAACAGATTTCGGAATGGTTAGAGAAACAAAGGATATGCCTTTATCCATTTTTTGCAGCAATTCCACTTTTTGTTTGATGGACATCGAAACTTACCTTCGCTTTGTAGATCCTTTAGCAGCTCCAGCATCGGAAATTCTATTTGACATAATCGAAAGTTCAAGCTTACTTTTATAAAATTGCTCTAACAGTCTGCAAAAAGTAAAGCAGGATCCAATTTGAAGATTAAGGAACAACGCAATCTGCAACATTAACTGAAATAGATAATTTTAGCTTAGCTTATACCGTCCGTTATACATTAAACATAGCATGCGCACGTGTAAAAGTATTAAAAGCATACGCATGTGCAGAAAGTTTAACTTTGAGGTCCGAATTAACGACTTTTGACTGTACAATAGTACTGTACCTACATGTATTCTTCTCTATGAAACTTTGACAAACGAATCAGTGAAGTTTAAGAACATTTGACAGAACATAAAAAATAAGATATAACATTTTTTTACAGTTTGAAGAAAAATATTTGAAACCATGTTATTGCAACAGGATGGTAGACTGCATGCTTCTTGTAACATTTCTTTACTGATTGCAATGTCGGAAAACCACGCACTGTTGGTGAACAAGTGTCGTTTCACCTTTTGCATCAGTTTTAAACATTTGACAAGTATTGGGAAATTTCTTTTACAAATCTTACATAAGCTAAACACAAAGCTTCTCTTCCTGCCAAAATTCACTTGTCAAGCTGAATGGAGAATTCAGATATTTTTAAGAAGTCAAAGAATTTTGTATGCATTCAGCCATTTTTCAATCTTCCTCTGTATTCCTACTAGCTAATGAGA